GATCAGCGTGGGGTTTTAACAATTAATAATTCAATTGAATAATCTAATAACCCACAATAAATTTTTTAAAAAATTACCCAAATGTTTAAATAAAATTAAGCTAAATTTGGCAAGATGATGTATTAGAGAAATCCATCCATTTCTTCTTGATTTATAATAAAGCCGATTAGTTCAATTTACCGTGAAGTAAAAATAGCAAGCACTTAAATTAGAATTGCTACATCCAGATTGGCAACTTCTTCACTGCATAACTTTATAGTTAAACTGACACTCCTAGATACCTTCTCTCAATGAAATCGTCTTATCCTACCTAGAGAAAACTCCGGTTAATTAAAACACCTTTAGTGATGTTTCGCTATTTCTTCAATTTCTCAACATTCTTTAAAAATTCTTAAGAATAAGAAGGCTGTATTTAGCCTGCTATATAAATTAGAAATTTAATGCTAGCTTTTCTGTGCGATAATTAAGACAACTCATTTTATTTTGCTAATAAAGAGAAATATAATACTAGCTCATTAATGTATTTGTCTTTTTTGACTTGTAATCCTGTGGAAAATGCTGCCATAAGTTTAATATTATAATATAAGCAATTAAACATAGAATAAATATTATGCTTTAGAAAATTTTACATCAAGGTATTTGTTAGCTTTTTTATATTTGTGTGGGTGATCTCTAAAGTTCTCACGATTTCTGCTCAAGTTTTTTATTTTCCTTATGCTGGAAATTTTCACTTATTCTTCAAAAAGAAAGCGGTTGTTCTTATCAAGTTCCACATTGGTTTCGATTAACTTTGGCAGATATCTTACAAGAAGGTGTCGTAAGATTTTACCACCTACGATGTTTCTTTTCTTTTTATTCGGCAAGTTTCAACGTGTCAGTAAGATTCGAAGCCTGCTGTATATCTCCTCTACGTTCTTTGAATTCAAATTGATTCTTCGATACTAAGCCTTTCTCTTCGAGTTCACCTTGCAATCACTCCAGCAAAATTCATTAAGTAAGTTTCGGGTTATAACGCATGTTTCTTCGAGTTTGGGATTGTTAGCATCATCCCCGTTTTTCAAAGGTCAAGGAATAAGTTGTTTGCATTGCACTGCTCACTATCTTCGTGATCTTCAATCTTGACAGATATTAAAAATCAAAATTAAGTGATATGATACAGATTCTTCTTATTATATCGAAATTTATCTAAAAATATTGGAAGACAAGTTAAAAGATATATAAGTGTCTAAGAATATCTCAGTATGATTGATAGTTTGTACACGTTTTTTTAATTGAATTTAGGGTGTTATGAAATGAACAATAAGTACACGTTCGGTGTGACTCTCATCATGATCATCACGACATCAGCATGAGGGGATTCAGGAGGCAACAGGCGGCCAGAAGGGCAACACGAAACGAGCTAGCGCAGGTCAACGTCCTGCGCCGGGCCACAACCGAACAGTGCGCGTTTTTTCTTCCTTATTTCGTTTGCCGGCATCCTCCTTCACACGCTGGCACCGCCTCGACACTGTTGTCTTCTTTTTCCGTCTTTTTTAGCCGCCTTATCTGCTTCGGCTCGCGTCTTAGGAAAGGCGCACCACTCTTCGGAGGCCGTAAAGAGAGCTATTAATAGGCCTTCGGTCGATGATAAAACCACCGGGTTGAATCAAGACTTTTCAATTTCAAGATGGAAAGAGGAAATTGATATTTTAAAGATATTTAGATTACCTAGATATTTTGATTTGATGTGTCTTTAAACCGTTGGTTTAACGATAAGAAGTGATTGGGAGTATGAAGAAGTCGTAAATGTTTCATTAAAATGTCTTCGTCGGGATGTGAACATATTTTTAAATGTTACAGCATCCTCGAGGACCATAATGCTGAAAGGTAATCCGTGTACTTATTCAATTGACCTTCAATCACAAGTTAAAAATAAGCCTATAAAAGGGATATTTATAAGAAGGGTAGAGTAATTATGTGTTGGTTTTAACTGCTGTTAATGAGATTTTCATCTATTTCCATCGTAAACTCTATTAATCGGTAGAATTGCATTATTTATATCTTTAGCCTTTTTTCACATCATCGTTAAACCTTGACCTATAGCGGCGTTGTTTTGATTAAAAAGCACATGTATTTGAAATTAGGCGTATAAATAGTTTTTTATTCCGCTGGCTTTATGTCTTTCTACGGTGGTCAACTCGGAACAAGGACATCATTGTGAGTTGCATGGGCAACATACACGTCCAGGCTCACGTGACTCCAACCTTTTCTTCTTACCTTAATGATTATTCAAATTTTTCCCTTGATCTGTTGCAATTGTTGTATTTAATTATTACTTGTTGACTCGTGTTGACTTATAAATTCTGAAGAGTTTTGCGCGTTAGAAATCGTAAAGAAAGATATTGCTAAAACCGGGTGGGAAATCAAGCAAACAGACAGTTTGCTCTTTCGACGCCTATCTGCCGCAATCTAGCGCCTCTTTTGTCTATGTTTAATGGCAGCCCGAGGAAGGCAACCGGTTTTCGGTATCAAAACTGTCATCGTGTGTGACATGAGCGGAGGTCTAGCATGACTTCGATATTTAAAGGGAACTCGCGTTTCTTATAGCGCTCGGTAATGAATTCTTAAATATTTGTTCAAAAAATAAAAACTACTGATCTCTAAATAGATATTACATCTAAACAACCATTATAATATATGCCTGTAGAGCACACGCTATCTTGACCTTGCGTGTCACGGTCATTACCGAAATTTGTGGTGTGTTTGTGTGCATAATTATTCACACACCTGTTTGGTGGGTCGAGTTTTTTTGACTGGCTCTTGAATGAATCCGATATGAGATTTAATAGTTCTGGTGACAAAAATGTCGAAACATAAAAGAGGAAGTTAAAATTTTAGAAATATTTTCAAACAATTATTTTATATAATCCAAAAATTATTTCACCTACTTTTACCATCAGAATCAGGAGAGTTTTAGTAGTCGCAGAGTCTACCTCAAAGAGTGGTAGACAAAGACGACGGCCAGTGGACGAGAAAAAAGCTCTTCGTCGACATCGAGAATTATATGGGGCTGATGTGACAGACCAAGCGGGCAACCCCTTTGTTCTCGGCTCCTCTGCGTACTCCAAATCTGGTATGTGTATCAAATTTGGAATGAATCCAAATTAGTAAATGCGGTTTTCAAGAGACAGGCGGTCCGCCGTTGCTCGCGGCCTGCTCAGTGTTTATATCAATCGTCAAATATGGTCCGGCATGCGACCGAACGCATACGTGTACGCGTACGTGTGTTCGGACACACGTGCAACCGAGCAGATGGGCCCGGAGATAGCTGGACCCACCCCTGACCTTGAGAGATTCGCTGAAATATAGAAAACCACTTTTACTTGAGATTTTTGGATATATCTCATTTCGGTTTTCTTTTTCATTTTTGGAACAACTTTCAATAATTCTCATTCGGATAAGATATGAATCCTAAGAAATACATAAAAATATAGATCGATGTATCTATAAAAGGTTTCAACTACTGGTTTCCATTTGGGGATGGATGAAGCAAAACGAATAAAAAGTCTATTATTGGTGATGGTAGACGGCGTGTCTCTGGATAAAAGATATGGTCTGTCAAGATCTAAAATTACTTATTCAAAAAGTTTTCAACTTTGAATACTTACTTTTCATGAGAAAAATTCTTTTGAATGGAAACATTTTTTATATCAAAAGCAACTATTTAGGTATTTTTGAATTAAATGGTCAAAATTGATCTATGGATAAAACCAATTACGATTTTAAGGTTGAGATTTTTCATCAATTTCCTTGTTGCGGAACATTTTATAATTTTTTGTCAGAATGCTGGTAAAGGATGCTTTGATCAATAACGAGAACTCTCACCTGAGGAGTTGTCGAGATACGGCACAGAATTTAGTCCTTGAGCCACTTAAGTTGTAAAGGGGAGTTTTATGTGCAATATGAGAAAGCAGCTATCGAATGGCCGTTATCACTAGTAAAGGCTAATTTCCGTATGGAGCTGTTCGAAGCAGGGGATTTAACTAAACACCCAGCATTCAATAATAAAGTCTACCATAGAAGAAGATAAACAATCATTCTTTGAACCAGGATAGCTCAAACACAGAGCGTGCCGGAAGAAAATGAGAATGAGTTCATAATTTGGACTGTTTTCCAAAGAGCTAGGAGATTATGAGGAATAATTTTGACTGACTTACAGATTGTTTCAAAAAATGTTCAGAAAATGTCTAATTATTTCTGGGATGTGTTTAGATTATTTAGAATTATTCAGGGATATCTTAGGATATATTAAATTTGATATATGTTATTACAAAATTTCTTGCGAATAAAACTGATTTTTCAGTATCAAAGAAATTAGGGGTAATTCGAAGTAATTAGTATTCTTATAACATAAAATGTGTCAGTTAAAAATAGTTGTAAAAGACTGGTATAGAGAATAGAAAATATTGTTAAATCTTTGAAAGACTTGAGATGTCGAGAGAATTTTTATGATAGTATCGTCCCAACATTCGTCCCACGAGTAGGGTCATAAAGAGGAGGTCGCTTATGCAACCGGAGGCCGCGGTAGCGCCATCGCCATCTACACGGTCGAGCTCGTCTTCATCGCATTTACATAGATTCGCTGGCGTCTGGGGCCGCCTCGATGCAAGTGAGAGCGGCGATCGAAGAAAAAACGAGGAAATTATTTACCGGAAAACGGTTGCCGGTCGGGCGATTGAACCCGGTTTGTTTATTGTCCATAGTTAGCTTACGTAATTATATCTCTCCTTTGGTGCGAGATCGAGCCGAGCTCGAATCTGCACAGATCTCCGGCAGGTCCATTGTTTGATGCTATGGCCAAATAGAGAAAATCGGCGTCGACGGATGCATACCACTTGTACAAGAGATTGAACACTGATTGGCGCATCGAATAACTACGGATAACTTTATTATTCCATCAAAACAAAAATCTCTATATACGCTTTTATATTTATATTTTGGGTGGAAATAAATAGACAAAATAAATTAAAAAATATATTCCTGCTCTTTACATCTTAATTTTACAAAAAAAAACATAGGCCAGTAGCAAAACTGTACAAAAAGGATAGAAGAATGAGTTCTAACACAGACAACTCCCTGGATAAAAGGGGGGAATTTACAACACGAGGGGGGCTCGGGCGTTAGCAATTAATAATAGTATATACAGCGGTTACGGATAAATAATTTTACACTTGGACATGGAAAAATGGGATTGTTGGCGGGAAAACCTAAATAATAAGAATATTAACCAAATTGTTATCCTTTTTTCTTTCTTCGCGGGTACACGATAGGAGGGGGCGTGTAAGCGCACGCGAGATAACCGGAGGAACTTAGTCTAAGCGATAAGTTAATCGTTATAACAATCATTATTACAATCAAATACAATAATAAAAAAATAATCAAAATAATAATAATAGCAATAAAAATAATTGTAAAAGTATTAAAAAAATAATCAACAAATCAGTCTTGGTATTTGCTTTCCACCGCTTTTGATATATTTATTTACTTTTTTCTTTCTGTTGCGCAAGATACGACGTTATCGATTTTTCCTTTATTATTTATAACCGGGGAGAAACTGTTCGAAAAATGAGATGAAAAGGTGGCGGTAACTTTTTGGCAGTGTTGTTTTGATTTTTTTAATAACGTTTTGCAAACATTATTTTTCACGCTGTGTGGACTGAGGAAGAAGGGGACGATCGTCGGTTTTTGTCGACGTTATCTGTAACAAAAAGAAAAAAATGGCATAATTAGATTAGCATTAATATGTTGTGCTTTCGCAGGTTAACATTCTAACGTGTGTGTTATTAAATAATAGCGAGACGGCAGACTGTGTGTGTGTTACATCACGGATTATTGCTACATATAAACACCCGATCGGCTGGATTTTACGTAACAACGCGTTTATTTTTAAACGGCGACTGTACGGAAACGCGAACGAAGAGATTTTAAGAATCTCCAATGTTTACGTGCGTGTTTGGTGTTGAAACGTTGTGTGTATGTGCTTTTGGGCGGTGAGTAGTGAGGTCATCAACCTCCCCAAAAGTCAAGAGACAGAAGAGCATAGCGAAGAAGGAATTCTTATGAATTTTATAGAGAAGAAAATAACGCGATAGGTTTTATATTGTTACAAGAATTAATATTGGTTAAAAAAGCGAATTAAATGTAGGGTGGAAATTTGACGTTTGATTTTAATTTGATGGAAAGTGTAATCTTTTAATATTAAGTTGCTAAAAGTGTGCTTTACTCTTCTAACCGGCGAACGGGGGCGTTTTAAAACATGTGTAGGTTACCACCAAGTGAGGTCAACAACCGAGTAGTCAACGCGGAAGTCTGAAGAAGGAAGAGTTCTCTCATTTCTTCACTTACCTACTTGGCAGTTTTCTTCTAGTGCGACTCGAAGTGTCTTTCCTAGGTGCCATCGGCGGGATCCCGTGGGACATAGGGAGTGAGCCCTCAGTATTGCCCTGTTGGATCTAGGACTTTCCCGTGATCCATCATCCCCACTTCAATATTGCCCAGTTGGGTCCAAGACTTTCTTACCACCGTCCATTATCCCAGAATTATTCCGAAATAAAAAACCGCCAAACTTCCGCCAAAATCAATATAATCCTGTTGGATCTAACGTCTTCCCACCGCCTGCAGTGACAACCACCATAATACTATGCTTGTCCCTCGAAAAATCTTAATATTGTCCCGTCGGGTCTAGGATCTTCTTTCCACCGTCCATTTTTTTCGATTCAATCTTTGCAACAAAATATTCGAAACAACACACGAGGTTCTGAAGGACGTAGCGTGATGACGTTCGCGACACACTGAGACCAAAGCACTTGGCAGAGTGATGGTAAAGCGAACCGACCGCGAGTCTTAAATGGAACTGAACGCGATGGTGGGGATTCTACGTCACCAAACCCTGACCCACTCACAACTGATGCTCGAACCCTCTTCTGCAGGACGAAGGACTCTTTTTTCGAGCCTGGTTGGTCCGTCAGGACAATGGGTACCTGTGTCGAGCGCCCGATTTGCTCCCAAATTTGCAGGTATCTCGTGGCACGCAGCTGGTTGGCAGCCAAGAATCTTCTTTTTTCAGTGAATAAGGTGGGGGTGTGAAACAGTTCTTCAGATACTCAGTTACACAACTTTTTCGACATCGAATGCTTCAGATAGAGATTTTTAATCTTCCTGGACGATTTGAAGAAATTCTTAGATAATTCAAAATTAAATTACTAAACCCAAATTTTATGTCAAAAAGTTTTTTTACAAAAAATTGCATCATTTATAAAATAATAAAAGGAATTTTACCGTTTAAATCTAATTTGATATTCATGTAGATAAAATTTAAATGCTACGTAATGTAGGCATTTTTAATCATTTTAAAGATGATTCGTTGATCTGATTTACGTATTAACCCAACCGGGATTTCTTTTTACCTACATTTCATTCTAAGAATTCGATTTTCCATGGAAATTTAATTTTTACTTGACGTGAATCACTCAACATGGAAAGATAGTATAATGGGTTTTTTATTTATTAATGTTATACATATTTTTAAGTAAGTTATCTTTTTATTTTTAACTTTTATGTTTTAAACAAGTCAATTTGTTTACTTTATTAATAACAATTTTAATTTAATAACTTTATTGTGAATTAACGATATCGTTATTTATGCGCAACGATTATGTTAATAGTTTAAATTTCAAAATAAAGTAATAGTTTGGAAATGTGTTAGAAAGTTGGGAACACCGTTAGTAATAAATTTTGTAAGTATTGGATGATTGGTCATTAATTTGTTGTAATAATAAAATTTATTGATAAATTTGAAATGATATTAGATAAAAAAAAGATTTTAAATCGCAAAGGTTTCATAGTCAACTCTTGCGCCATACTGCGGAGCGTTGTATCCTGCCATACGGCCAGTTCTTTGACCTCACGAAATTTTGTTCCTGCTATCCATATGCATGGTCGCGAGCACGATATCCAAAACGTTCTGTAAACCAACCTGTAATTTAATGTTTACTTACTCGGCTTTAAAAAATTGCATCTACCTCTAAACGAGCGGGCAAACAAAGCATTAGGCTTTTAACCGATTTGAACAAACTTGAACGAAACGCGTCTTCTGGACGTCTTAATTTCGACATTCTCCTGGAATTTATTTACTTAAACAATTTGGTCCCAAACAAACCCGAAATTAGTGAAGCTTCCATAAACGTTATTTAATTGAATTATAGTTCGTAAATAAGTCCGTTGACGTTTAGCAAAAGCGACGACGTCCCACTGCCCACGAACATCGGATTCCGTATACGTTTCCACACACTACTCTATGGCCTAAGTTCAAAGAACTACATTGTTGTTGGCTGCTGCGAAAGCCAAGTATAACTTCCTACTTTAGATACACACATAGAGCCGTAGAGATACAAATGGTTTTCAGGTCGACGTGTACAAGCGTGATTCTTGATGCAAATTCATCTTAATTTAAACAACTAACTCACTTAACATTTTCTTTTAAAATCAAATAAATTTGCAAATAGATATTTTTAAATAAAAACCATGCTTAGAGCGAAATGCAAAGATTGTCCTTGTCCGCTGATAATCATAGCGATTAAAATTTTTTGCAGCGATTTATAATAGATTCGAACCGATCCGACGTGGTTTCTGCAGGCGATTAGCGACATGTTGCTTTTAAAAAAAATGCTGACTTTCACCTCGACTTTCACGTGTAGGCTTCCTCGAAAGTTGCCATACCCCAAGGCGATATCATCGCAATTTCCTTCCACTGCCCGAAGAGAAAACATTCTTAGGTCAACTGCAGTAAAAGATGTAAAGACATTTACCAAGTTATGGTACGGAATTCGCCGTGCAAATAACGCCACAGACAACTTTATTGTATCGGACAAAAAGTAATTCGCACATTATCCACGGCTTTGAGTCATGGTAATATTATTTTTCAGCAACTAAAGCGCTTCCTTAATCCGGCAACAGTAATTAAGCGACTCTATACCTGGCACTTCTCTGCAAAAATGCAAACCTATTACACGGTCTGCTGACGCTGGGCAGGGACTCTATTGCTATCTAAAAAAATACCCCTTTATTTAATTCGAGTTAGAACACCTTGTATGAAATAGGTGCATTCCGGCGTATAACTTTTTTACTATAGGAGAATAAAACCGATTTAACAATGACGATGTTTAATATAAAAAAAAAGATAATTACTAATTAATTTACTAAAGGATTTAGTAAGTAAAATCCCATTAATTAATACAAATATATGATTCGTAATCATAGGACAGCTGACCAAGTCTAATCTTGTAAAAATCGACTTGGTAGGAAAACTCTGGGTGTCTTCGGCCGCCCATCTGTTCTCCATCATTCTTGTGCAACTGACCAACAGCTTGGCCAGTGGCCGATGTTTCCGCAAATCTATTTAGCAGGAGTCCATTAGGCACGACGTCCTGTTATGCTTGCAACGGCATTCTTTGGCTTTCCTCGCATTTCCTACCTTTCGCGACGACGATTCTATACGACTACGATGACAGAAATAATTTTATTGAAATAATGCAACATTGAAAATGATAACGATCGTCATGATTTAAAAGGATGATAGTGTATAGAGAGTCCAATGGAAGTTACCCACGGACGTGACGAGGTCGTATGAAGACCAAATCCGACAGGACCAGAAAAGCTTCTTCTTGGAGCTGGTAGCAGTGGTCGGCAATAGATGCGACCGAGCGCTACCAGGTGACTTTGCACTACGCATTTCTCGTTTCTGAGCCTTTGTGACTAGTGGCTCGGTCTCTTGCGGGCCTCTGCGACCATCTGAGGTCATCGTCCCCGGTTAGTCACCCTTTACCCTACTGAACCAACGGCGGCCAATCGCACACTGACCGCACTTCTAGGTCGTGTTCAATCGTGAACGATCCGGGACGCCACGCAGCATCACCAGCTCGCAGATCTCTTGTTGGCGTTCGACGGCGCCTCTTCCTTGTATTCCCTTCGCCGTCCCTCGCACTCTTTCAACCTCCATCCACCGTTTGACCTATATACTTCTTCAACGACGTTCACCCAGGAAGAGATCGGAGCGGATCGAGTGGTCTTTTCTCTTCTCTCGGTCCGTTCTTCTTCCCAAGGCAAGGAACTCTCTCGACCAAAGAGCCTCGAGGTTCCCGCGTACGTGTTTCGGGTGTTCTTCGTGTCATCGAACTCTTCGCCGATCAGCTGAATATTCAGAGGTTGTTGACACATGATCGAACTGGGTCTTCAATGCCCAGAGCCCATACTCTGGCGGCCTATGTGTGTGCGTGTATCGACGGTCTCACGCACACCAACTCGAGTCCATCAATCTTCATCGCTTCGATGTGGCAACCAGAAGACATTGTCTTCGACCAGAGGGAATCGAACTTTCCTTCAGACCAGGAAATGTCTTCGTGCTAGGATTTGGTGATTTATGATGTGATAAAAAATAATTATAAATATTTTTGAGTCATTCATTTTAAATTCAGTTTCTTTTAATAAAGTTGATGAATGGCTACTCGAGCCGCTACATGCTTTACTTCAATCCAACAATCGATAATCATCTCTTATAAGAGTACGGCGCCCACAGATGATGTAATGTCATAACACAACAAACCATTGTGAACTCTTAACAGCTGATACAAATATCGTTGTTGAAAGTCGCGATGTCGGTGAACTCGAACCTGAGTTCGGATTTGTTCTTTTTTTTACTTCGTTCCTTCTTCTTACATTCCAATATATATGAGTTTGTAGTGTAAACCTCTTCGAAATAATGAATGTAGTCGTGAATGTTCGTTCTCGTACACGTATTTATCACGCTATTGTTCTCGTATCTTATCGTTCATTCCGATTTCAATTTCTGTTTCAATTTAAACTTCGTTTAACATTCCAATTTCTTCTGCGTTTGTTTTCACTGGCGATGAGCGCAAGTTCAAGTTTAAAGGTGTTCGGGTGGCCCCCTTGGCTCTTATCCAGGTGCTGTAAGAACATTTTACGGCCAGTCTCGTAACGGCCTCGTCTCTAGTTTTATTATTGCGTCTAGTGCACGCTGGGAGAGACCTGACTAGACCAAGAAAAACACCACGAAAGAAACCAGGGTCGACTGGTCTAGAGAGACGGAGCCCCCAACGCCGAAAAGAAAGCTGTCGTCTGCCACGAGCGCAAGATGCGGCGTCGTGTCTTAGGTTCTAAGTGCTCGTGCCGGACCTCGACGAGAGAAAGTAGTGAAAGAAAGCCTGACGAAAGAAAAATTTGTTTGTGCAGGTCCGGTGCATTCTTATTGAAATCGAATCTTAAACACCGAGAAATGCTGTTATCCCATTACAACTATTATCCTAAAACATTTTTACTAATTAATTAATAAGAATATTATTGAGCTGTTTTAATATTTGTTATGTTTAAATTTAAGTAGAAAGATCCTGTTTTCGAGTTATTTAAGCACTAGAGAATTATTAATAAGAATTCTAAAATCAATCCGCCCGTCAACGTTTGTTATCACGTTGTACAAGACATTCCAGCCGTATTAAGAGCCGGACGATTCTTCCTGCCTCTTTTTTGTCCCTCGCACTCCACCTAGAAAAAGGTGGGGCCGCTTGTCCTCCTCGTCCTGCCAGGAGGCAGAGAAGGACGGAGTGGCCACGCACTCGAAGGCTCGAAGCGAGACCATGGATGACTCCGAAAACTGAGTCCGAATTCTTGGGCCACCAGAGGTTACTAGCCTCAGCAGTAGAGCGCGCGTCTATTTCCATCGCTCGTCCTGCCTCCAAATTCGCGTCGGCGACTCCTCTTCACCTCCTGCTTCTCTTCGCCGATTGCGTCCCCAAAAAGGTTCCCACGAGGACCTCCTCTTCTCCT